TTTTTTTTTTTTTTAAACACTCAAGAATCCCTGCAGAATGGCTTTGAAATTGTTCGGCGATGATCTCACTATGCCACGGGACAGTGCAACAGTGAAGCGCATTTGAAGTAAGCGAACCTCGCAGGCGGGAAACTGTCTGATGCGCCGGGAACCCACGCAAACTCTCTCCCCAGCGCTGCTATCTTACTTCCTTCACTGGAACTCGGTAGAAAAAAAGTCCTGAAAATAACAGATATACAGGCGTAGATGGCCCACCGAGGCGTGGTTGCGTTTTTGCGTCATATACGAATTAAAGATGGTCCCAAAAGTCGTTGAGACATCAGGTGTTCGGACCTCGGTAAACTGTGCTTTATTGCTTCTCATGGGAGTAGAGTTCAATACTAATGCCTCTAATAAATATTAGTCTTCATTGGTGAATATTCGCAAATCTCTTCACTGTCAAGAGTTCATAAGCGCCATTTCTTACTTTTTCGATTAGTTTTTTGCCAGACAAAGGAGGAGGTAGGGTTAGAAGGGGAGATGGGGTGTTGAAGATATAGCTGTAATCGTAAACAAATTTTCATTCCTTAGTAGAAGTTTCCCCAGGAAAACGGTACAGGAGGTGATGACCACGGTCTAGGCCTTTCCTTGAAGGACTCTAAATGGTTACTGGAGGTGAAGGAAGCTCACGCGGGAAATCTGTAGTTCTGCAAACGTTATTGGAAAGCTGTTATAAATCTGCTCCACTCGCAACAGTATTTCACCATTTTATAACGCAGTCTATTGCGAACATAAAGTATACGTTGAAATTTGTTGGCGAACACGGCTTTTACTAACGTTTGAACTGCATTGAGCGATAAAGGAGGCAGGGATGGAAATTACAGAAAGTTTAATTGTGGAACTCTTCTAAAGTCAGACGTAGCTGTTTTTTATAAGCATTTGTTATAGCCGGAAACGTAGCATTATGTTATACAGATCAGAAATCCTGCTTTGTTTTTGTTGAATAGTAAACTCTTGGTGAATGCAGTGCTAATTTTCAGTTGCAACTTAAGAGTCTGGCGATTCCTGACTAAGTATTTTTGCATGTGTTTTGCAGCCAGCGCTCTAATTTTTTTTCTCACTTTTCAATACCTTCTTACCGTTTCCTTCTTTTAAGACCTAGGCCTTCCTCCTTAATACAATTTTTAGCATGAGTCTCTTAACCTTTACAGTTTCTACTTCATGTACTTGTAGAGGTGTAATTTAGTAATGTTAAAAAATATATTTGAGTATTGGTTCCTGAAAGATAAGCATGTACGCTACTTTAAATTTCAACTTTTATTTGTTCGGTAGGCGAACTTTGGAAATCAGAGAAAACCGCAGATTTTTTAATTTTCGATGCGGACAGTGATGGGCACCAGAGACAGCAACCTTTGAAGTGAAAACAACAACATGTTTCCGATCCTGCAAACTCAAGTGTTCTTGTTAAATAAGCTGGGCGTCTTTTTCAATCCAAAATATTCCAACCACCTCTTTTCGTCCTGGCGCAGTTACATAACAGTTATATAAAATCACCGTGCATCAGTTAGCATATTTTCGTTGGTCAACGTCCCGCTTATTTCTAAAAATTTTCATGACAGTTGAAGCTTGGTGTAAGATTAAAAGTAAGAGCTCACTTCAAACGACTTCTTCCGGCTAACTGGAATATAACAGAATTCCGAGATTACAATCTGTCAGACATGCCGCAAACTTTACTACTCAATTAGTAATTTCCATAATCAAGCAAGTTTCTTTCCGTATGAAATTAAACTTACGCTTTAAAAATTTACTAAATAGACAAATGTAAACGAAACTATATAAGAATACCAATGTTAAATCGTCATTTAAAATGGTCTGTTAAATTAATTTCTCAGAAAAAGAATTCAAAGTTTTTCGCTTCATTAAACTATCACAGTCCCACAGCAGGCGGGAAGATTCCGCGGATGTTACAGGCAGCAAACCAGATTAATAACATACTTTAATAAAATTTCGCCTCCGAGCTGGCTGAATAGCAGTGTAGTGCATGCATGGCGAATGACCATTCTACCAATAGAAAATCAGAAAAGATGCGGAATTTTGGTGTTTTCAGAGCAGAAAGTAAGAAACTTGTATAATTTCTAATTTTTTTTTTTTCGCTTTTCTAAGTATCTTTTTCCTTAGTCAAAGTTCTTTTGCCATATGATGCAGCCATCGAAGCTTATAATGAATTACTATAAAGCAGCAGTGTTTATTGAAATTTGGCAGGGAACGAAGCACAAACAAGAAATAAGCAGAAAAGAGCTTCTGTTTTACGGTAAAGCACTGATTGATATTTCGTAGCAGTTCTGAAGGAAATATTGCCAAGCAGTTTTTCTCCACTTGCTTCACTTTCCTTCACATTCCCTCAACTTCCCGTACGCTTACGGTCGTTAGATCTGTTAATAAGGCTAAGAAAGTAGGTATATAATGGGAAAAATCGTTTGAAATTGCTCTTATGAAGGCGAAGTATGAGAACTTCTACAGGCAGATCAAGTCCTAAATGACGAAGTCACCAACAAAAAAAATCCTTCCAAGCCTTTATCATTGTAGAATTTATAGGTGAGGTTTCTACTATCACTACTTCTACAAGCTCATTCAGTAAGAGTCTAATAGAAGGCTATTGCTGTTCCGAACTTTATAGGAGGTTAGAGACAATGACTAATAATGACTACAGAGACCGATTAACAGCGAAACTCACTACGATACTGGACGGGAACGTTTACAAGGAAGGTTATACCGATAAGATACCTGCGGAAAATTTCTGTGTGCTAAGTGACGAAACTTTTCTTCCTCTATAACGTTTTCTAAAGCTTGTTACTATTCCTCGATCAAGTCGGAGCTTGCAGGAAAGCAGGTTCCATGAAAAAAAACAAAGTACGTCGCCAACAATTTTTTATGTTGAATTATTAGATCTTGAATATAAAAATTTATTACTATTTAAGCAATACAGTAGAAAGAAACAATAGAAATGATATTATCAAAAATTATTATAAATAATATGATTACAAGATCATTCAACAAAAGAAAGTCTAATGTCATTTCAGCAATAATTCAGAAGTTTTGGTCATCCCATTTTCTAAAACAGGCATAGGCGTCGGTGGCATTATCAACATAAACTCAGAAGTTAAGAAATAATGTAATGATGGGGGAAGTAATAAAAGATTCCAATAAGGATTATTGAAAATTTGGATAAAGATATCATTGACTGAAATTCACGAAACGCGTTTTGTACAAACCTTTAACCAATTTACAGAAAGCCGTTTTTCATTGCCTGTCTCTAAAAACCGCCCGTAAATTTGAGAAGCCTGAAAACGAGTAGATCAATCATATTAAATTAGAAAATAATTTACCCAGAAAAAAGCCGAAATAATGACTCGAGTGAATTTCCTTTTCAATCGATGCTGCTCAAAAATTGTTGTAATAAGCAAGAAGCAAATAATTAGAAAAATAAAGTGTTAGAGCAAAAAGTTCCTATAATTACATGTAATACAAAGTTGTATGAAAATTACAAAGAAAGGTGAGTGAACATTTTTCAACTGTTCTACAGCGCACAACAAAAAATTAATTTCCAACTTGATCAACGACTGTAAGAATTAAATTTAAAAAGTATTTTGTAATATCCAGCATTATTCAATCAAACTTCAGTGGCTCTTCCTATACCAGGTATCGCTTAAACACCTTTGTCGCCCATCGGTTCGTTAATAAATTCTCTGTGCTTTTTTGATGTCATTTTAACGAACAGCTTTTCCTAAAAAGTTGATTCCAATTTAAAGAAAAGAAAAACGCTTCTTCATTAACAGCGCAATTTGTAAATAATTCGCATTTCACACACAGTATATGCAGAAACCAGTTTGTCCTGCTTCATTTCTGTGATTTACTACTACATTCAACTGCTAGATGCTTCAAATTCTACACTTTTATTAGCTGGCTAAATGTCAATCCAGAAAGGTTTGTAAGTTGAGAAAAAAGCCGCCCATATTTACAATTTTGACAAGGCATAAGATGCAGCAGAATTCACTACAGAAGGTCACCACATTAGTTTTTTAAATTGGTACGCCGTATTGCAAGTTTTTTGCTATTTCTTACATAAATGCTGCTAATTAAAGCGGCGCATAATTATGAGTCCTAATTAGGTAAACTAGTATTAAAATTTTATAAAGAATTCAAACGTTGTTATAGCTGTAATATAATGAAAACAATGTGCCAAGAAGAGGGGCAGAGAGCTTGTTTATCCGTGACAAGTATTACGTCGATCGACAATTAAAAATTACATTATTG